GAGTCCTCCACATAGAACTAAAAAATTGGAGGAGCTTGGCCAATGTTAAAGTGTCATGTGGCAATGCTTGGATTGTTTTTCCTTTTAATGTACTTTTTTATGCTTTTATTTTAAGTTTGGTGTATTAATTTTGAGAATACCGTCAAAAAAAATTGAGGAAGATTTCGATAATGCAAATTGTAATGATTTTATTATGATCTTATTTTTACAAGTTAACTCTAACTTTAAACTTATGTTTCAAATTTTATTTTACTAATTTGTAAATTAATTATTTTAATAACTTAATTTATAAATCTATTAATTTATAAGTTAAAAGTATTGTATGGTATAAATGTTTAAAAGCAAAATAATTGTGTTGGTCACACATTGAATAGTATTTTAAGTAGTCCTTTTTTAATGTAAGAGAAAAGGAGAAATAATGGATGAGTAATATGTAGAGAATGCCGCGGCCAGGGGCGCCTCCTCCTCAACCATTACCGACTGCCTCCCTCTTAGCAAAGCAGGACAAAGTTTGCACAGCCTCAACACGAGAAGAAGATAAGAACAAAACAGGGAAGAAGGGAGCACTGAGCAAACAAATTTTAATATTAATCAAATTTATATCAGATCATATCAGAATTTCAAAAAATCAGATGAGATCAAGCAAACCGAATAGAGCCTAAATCTGACGTGGTGGAAAAAATTAATGATTTAAAATTAAGGAGAATTAATGGACTTTATAGTCTTGAATTATGAAAATGGAAATATGGATTTTTTGATAAATAATGATTTTACTATGTGAATGTATATTCTGCATTATTTATATTATTATTATTATTATTATTATTATTTCTATTACTATTGTTATTACTATTATTATTAATATTATTATTATAGTTATTATTGTTATTACGATTATTATTATTATTATTGCTTTTATTATCAATATTTCTATTATTATTATTATATCTATTATAATAAAAAATTTAATTTTAATATTAATCAAATTTATATCAGATCATATCAGAATTTCAAAAAATCAGATGAGATCAAGCAAACCGAATAGAGCCTAAATCTGACGTGGTGGAAAAAAGTGTTCCAATGCGGATGCCCTAACTACCGGAGGAGGTAGAATTTAAAATTAATTAGTTAAAATAATCCTTACCACTACCTAAAGGAACCCGTTTAAATTTTAGGATCCGAAGCTCACTGCTACTCTCATGGCGCTCTGGCGCCAATTCACCCTCTTCCGGCACCGTGGTCGTTGACGGTCAACGCCGGCAATTGCGATTGAAACTGTGAATCTCGATCATCGCAGGCAAGTTTCTGCAATGGATCGGACGAGGCACCGAGAGTTCATAACGCACCAAGTAGTGGCGCTCCTCCTTCTCCGTGGGGAACGTTTTTGGTAACAATTTATAATTTCAAATGCCTGGGAACTTGTTTATTGTACTATATTCATATGTGCCTCACCAACCAATTACATACGCATACATAGTGCACGATTTGGATAAAATGAAGACATTTCGTGTTTTACAGAAATTTTGTTGTGAGCACTTTTTGCACACTACTCTAGAACTTTTCAGTATGTTCATAAGTAGATTTCTAATGCAACTTGGATTGAGAAATTGCAGAGAGCTACTATGCATCCTTATTATATCATTCGTATTGGGTTGAGCAATAGCGGAGCTATGCATTCTTATCACTTATTTTGACCCTTGATCATTTCAGTTTCTTATGGCTTTTCATAAAGGCATATAGTCAGTACTGCACATAATTTTTGTTTCTCTCGTAGGCAGCTCACACATCAATGGAAAACCATGCATCTGCTCGCTTGGTGATAAGGATGAAACCATCTCCATCTGTTGGCTCTTTGGAACAACAATCTTGTCAAGGAAACAATTCAACCAAAAGCTCAAGCTTGTGGTTGTGGCCCAGGAATGATTGTAATATGCTCTAACACGCTCCCTCACGTGCAGCCGTGACCTATTTGAGCCTTGCACGTGAAACCTCATTTTTTTAAATCTAGGTGGCGGTGATTTTTGAACTCGTGACCTCTTGGTCATCAAGGCTCTGATACCATGTCAAGGGGACAACTGGGCCATTTTGAAGTGGAAAACCAGGCCATTTTGTACGGATACCTTGACAAACGAGGTGATGGTCAAAATCTGCTCCGATACCATGATAGAATTTGGGATGAGTATTGATGATTGAGTTTTTTCGATAAGTCAACTTTCCCAATGAAGGGTTAGTTTTCTCCGAGTGTCGTGTCTCTCGAGGAGTGGACGAAGGGAATTAGCTAATTTTTCTAACTAGACGAAGGTTTGGACAAGTCTGAAAGTCTTCTCGATTGGATTTAAAAATAATAATAAACTAACTACTCGTTGCTTTTTGAGAAAAAGAAAATAAATAGTACGGGTATAGGACTAGACTTCGGGCCAAGGCATCATCTGAGTTAATTACTATTGTCACATATTTAATCAATAATTGGAATAATAATATTTCTGTCACAAATATTTCATTAACTTATCCTCTCTCAAGGCAACATTAATGTGTTCTAAAAAGTTTGGCTTAATTAATTTTATATCCTCATAGACAAGGCAAAAACTAATTTCCAATTATTAATTAATTTTTCTCTCGACATAATTAATTAATTTAACAATAAAAATAATTCTAGAACAATTATTCCAACTATTAAATAAACATACAGAGTATATGCCAAAATTTAGTCAAGACCCTAATCTGGGCCCTAACCCATACTAGATATCAACAGTGCATAAAAGAAACGAACATTTTATTAAAATTGCAAGTATTTAAACTTACAACAGAGAGCAGAGTTGGAGCCACTTTGGGATAACCGAAACAAAACTAAATTAAAATATTAAAATATAAATGAGAAAAGAGCGGAGAATGGAGTTCCGGGCCTTAAAGACCCGAATTGGAGCTTGATGAGAATGAAGGGGCGAAGGCCTCCTTTTATAGGAGAAATTTTCGGTCCAGGCCTCCGACAGGCGTGGGCCTGAGGTCCAGGCGGGGGCCTGTCCGAGGCCTGGGCTTGTCGGCCCATTCGTCAGCAGTTACGTAGGTCCAGGCGTGGGCCTGAGCTCCAAGCGGGGGCCTGTCCGGGGCCTGAGCTACTTTCCGACCCAAAGATTCATTTTTTGTCATTTTCTTCAATTCTTTTTGCTTCAAGACCCAATTCAATCTCTTTCTTCACTTGTGATCTTTATCTTGAAACAATTTTCTTCAAGTTTGACCTTAATTCTCTTGATGCTAACATTTTTCAACTTTCACCCTCTTTTGTTCAGCTTTTGACTCAACTTTTATTCTTTTTACAACAAAACATAACTTTTGTACACTTTTGAAATTATGAATAAAAACTTATAAAAACCATTGAAAAATTAATTTGTTTAATCCAAAATTGGACAACAACACGTTAAATATAGAGAACATAAGTGCGTACAAAACGGACTTATCAGGTATGGACAACTGGATTAAGTAATACGACACTTAGGCTGAACCACATTAAAAGATTGAATCCAATCGATTAGTTAGTTTAACTCAAGAACTTATATACCGATTATTTTACTCTTGAACTTCCTATGTGGGTTGCACTTTAACAAATCTTCATCAGGGGATCACTCAACATTAGCCACTCGATCTTCTTTGCCAAGTCCACTAGAGAAACCTTATTCTGATCATTCAGCTGAACATCAGCATCAATTACAAAATCATATCAATAATCAATTGCGTTCGCCGGAGCAACCTCCATCGGCTCATTCAACATCAGCTGCTCGATCATCATTAGGTTCAACAGAACAACCTCCTCAAGTCCGACCAATCTCAGTACGATCTTCTCACTTGAGCTCTTCTCACCAACCACTTTCTGCTTGTTCTTTTCTAGCCTGTTCATCTTCCATTTCCACTAGTGTTGTGGAACATGTGCAACCCCCATCTGCTCGCTCAGTAGCTGGTTGCTCATCGCATCCAATGGTGATGGATCAAGCTCCATGCTCCATCTGCTCGCTCTACCTCAGCTGCACGTCTTAAATTAGGTCCCAAGACCATTTCCATACTACTGTCTAGTGTGCCTATATCACTTTGGCCAGCTGTTGAAGCAACTTCCTCTGAGCTCTAGTCTGAAAATCTCATTGTAAAAATAATAAAAAAATGTTTTATTGATTGAATGATTTGAAGGAATACATAACAATGGATATATAGGTGGAGTTGGAGTATTCTAGAATTTTCCATGTTAATGGCTAGATAAATAAGTAGATATTGTATAATAATAACTCTAGCTATAATAGGTAACAACCATAATTATAATATATAATACTAAATATATTAAAATAATTAATATATTTAACATGTTACCAACGTCTTGGGAGGTGAAGATTGAACACCAACTTTTACTTGAATCGTGACCAGAATTGTAACCAGAAGCTAGAAGCTTATCATCGGCTAGAGTAGACTGAATGCATCCGGCCCAGAAGAGAAGAAGAAAGATTGCCAGGAAAGAGATGTGACGGTGCTGATGAGGAGAAGATAAAAGCCGTTGCGAACAGACTCATGCTGCTAACGTCGAAAGAGGGAGAAGGTTGACGTGCGCTGGAGTCGTGCACGACTAATTTAGAGGAGAAACAAAAAGGATAAAGTGTTGCTAGGGATGCTTGTTAATTGAAGATATGCCGACTGAGCAAGCTGATGTGACAATCTCATCTTAAATCAAGAAGTGCCGGTGATGGATCTAGAAACGAACGATTGTGGTTGGCTGGGAATATTTTTTTGCTATATGGAATTATGAAGGAATTAGGATCAAAGGAAGAACAAGCTAAGTGAAAGTGAGGCCGCCGTCGCCGGACAAACCACCGGCGTTGGCATCCGCAGAAGCAGAAACTATTAGGTCACCAAGAGCCAAGGCTCTGATACCATGTAAAAATAATACAAAATTATTTTATTGATTGAATGATTTGAAAGGTAAGTTCTATCGGTCCGTAGTCATACCTGTTATGTTATATGGGGCAGAGTGTTGGGCGGTTAAGAAGACTCATGTGCGTCGTCTGCATGCGGCGGAGATGCGAATGTTACGATGGATGTGTGGGAAACAAGGTTGGATAGGATTTCGAACGAAGTTATCCGACGTCAGTTGGGCATGGAGCCGGTGAAAGATAAGCTGCGGGAACCGAGGTTGAGATGGTTTGGTCATGTGAGGCGGCAGAATGCTGATGCCCTGTACGAAATGTGAGAGGATTATAGTTGTCGGGGGAAGTAGGGGAAGGGATAGACCTAGGAAAAATTGGAAGGAGGTGATTAGGCAGGATTTAGGACTTCTCACCCTGACTGAGCATATGGCTTTAGATAGGAACTTTTGAGAACTAGGATTAGAGTAGTTGGATAGGTGCTTTAGAGGTTTTTTGTAGTGTGTTTTGTTTGGTTATAAATTTTTGCTATTGCTTGCAGGACTTTCATTCCATTGTACTTGGTGCTATATATGTGTTATACTGTGATTCTTATCATATTTTTTGTGCAGTTGGAGTCGGGGGTCTCTTGGAAACAGCCTCCCTACTTCTGAGTACGGGCATGGTCTACGTACACACCCTCCCCAGACCCCACTATAGTGGGATTCAACTGGGTTGTTGTTGAATGATTTGAAGAAATACAAAAAAATGGATATATAGGTGGAGTTGGAGTATTCTAGAATTCTCCACATTAATGGCTAGATAAATAAGGAAATTTTGTATAATAATAACTCTAGCTATAATAGGTAACAACCATAATTATAGTATATAATACTAAATATATTAAAATAATTAATATATTTAACACTCATGGATAATAAAAGGAAAGACTTTTCTATCAATATATGATTTTTTGGCTACCTGATTGACAAAAACTTATTAAAAATGAAAATTAAATGTTTATTTCCTTACTCCCTCAATTTCACCTTACTAGTCATTTTTCGGTTTACGATGACTGAAATTATTTTCAATTGAATTTATCTAAACATAGGTGTAGAGTTAATGTTTTATGTACTCCGTATATTTTAAAACTATTTCAAAAGATCTATAAGGCAAAGGGTAGCTTGACTGTATTATTGTAATAAATGATTAAAGCAAATTGGTAAAGCAAAAAATACGGAGTATATGGTTTCACCCTGAGAATAGTGAATGAAGCAAGTGTTACGATTTAGAGGGAATATATTTTGATTTTTTAATGATATTTTTCTCAAGGCAGGATCACATCGTTTGCAACCCTATTGTGCTTGCCCTTATACTCCAAACTGTTTTGCCTATCTTTTGTTTCTTATTTTCTTGTTTGTGATGCACTGATGCAAATTTAGCTTAACTTCCCACAAAAATTTGAAACTTCAGCTTGTATATGTTGGTCCTTCATTTAATTTTTCACTTCACAGGTCAACCGTAAATCTTAAAACTTTTAAATGTAAAGAAACTGTCATTTAACATTCTTTTTCTGATCTACAAGATGAGGTTTGAGCATTGCATTACATCAGCCTCCCAGTTGTAATTCTTGAGATATATATTTTATATTATAATTAATGTTGTAATGTTTTTTGAAGGAGTTAATGTTATAATCTATTCCTTGTTTATTTTATGCATTGTTTTTGTTTGCGACGGGGCTATAAGCTTTAAGCTGTACCTCTAAGTCTATAACTTTCACATATGTGCATTTTGAAAATGATCCTTTTTTGAGTTGCTAAAAAATAATGTGAAGACTTCCAATCTTTCATGAATGGCCTAGTCCAACACCGCCAGGCCATCCTGAACCCTTTACTCTGCTTATTTCTTCTGAAGCTCGGTCTGTGTCTCCTTTTAATGCCTTTTTGGACCTGGAACAACCAGTGACCACCAATAAAACCTTCTAACAAAAGAGAATAGGAGGAAGTTTTTGTTCGTGCCCATGAAAAATTAGATAAGTGGTCGAGTTCCTTTTCTTCATGGATTCTGTAGTGTGTGTAGTATGAAGTATTCTGTAGTTTCAGTTACTAGTTTTACATGATGCAAGGTAAAATATTGTATTCACAGAAAATCATTCGGTTAGACCTCTTAGTTATTCAGTTCTGCATTGTACCTTTACTGATTCCTCAGTGAATATGTAACTAGTGAGAAGTAATATAGGATCGCAATTGCAGGTTGACATGCTTCAAGAGGACAATGAAAGTTTGCTTGAAAAGGTAATTTTGTACTCCCTCTGTCCCCAAATTAAATTAATACTTTCCTTTTCCCTTCGTCCCGAAATGAAATCTATACCTCTCCATGTTCCTTTTTCAAGAATGAAGTGGGTGGCTCTTCACACCTCTCTCTTCCAAACAAATTCCAACCAAACTCTTTTTATTTTTAACAAATTCCAACCGAACTCTTCCAAACCATAAATTAACCCGGAGATGGAGGAAGTATTTCAAATTTCTTCTCACTATATATGGTACCATGTCTCTGTCATATTTCTGCACAAAACCTTTGTGTCTTATGCATGTGTGTCATTTAGTGACATAGTTTTGTGGCATGCTTTCAGATTCGACTTGCAGAGGAACACTCTGAGGAAGCAGAAGCTCGGGTTAGGCTTCTAGAGAAGCAGGTAGTGATGCTCTTCATTGTGTAACAATCACCTTTATAATGGTTAGTTGGCACATAAGTGTAGACATGCATTTCCATCAAGATTTTGTGATTGATGAGAAAATCGTTGTTCTAATCCAACATCTTGCTTATATTCTAGTTCATCTTGACCACCAAAACCTCAAGAGAGTTGGGATTATATTGGATTTGTTGTTGTATTGTAAGTGGCAAGGTTTGTCTGTAGAGTTAGAAAGCTTGGTCTCATAGTGATTGAGATTTGTGAATGTGTCTACCCTATTTTTCCTATATCAGTCCATTATGCTAGATAATTCATGACGTTGTTCCTTTGTTAGATTGCAAATCTGGGGGGGCAGTGTATATATCACGTACTGGAGGCTCGTCTTTTAGCCAGGCAGGGACCAAAATTTCATAAATAACATATAAATAAAGCTTCAATTATGTTATTGTCTGGCAAGTTATGTTCTTGTATCTTTATATTCCACTGCACAGGAAAGAAGCCACTCTGCAACAGAGGGAAGTGTGTCCAATGGATTGTTGTATGGTGTTCCTCTATACACTCATTCAAATTATATCTGTGTTATCACTGAATATTTCTTTCCCATGTTCCTTGATATGCATGACACATCCACCTATCTCACCTCGATTTATCCTTACTGGTACGCAGACCTTGCCCCTACTCAAAAGTAGATAGACTGTTTCCATGAGACTCCCGGCTCATGCTGCACATAAAAAAGGGCTGCAGTAGATACATAAAGCAAAGAAAGCACAAATACAACGGAAACAAAGCACCAAGCACATTAGTACATGTGTTTAAATCCTGAATGTAATCCCCAAAATCTTATTTGGTCGGGAATATCCACAAGGCCAAGTACATCAGCAGGCTGAAAAACAAAAAGGACAAAACCTTGGAATTTATGCCAACAAGTATATGAGGACAAAGCTATTTTTACCCCAAGAATTTGTACCCCATTTTATACACCACAGGGATGCACCAACATTTTATGTTGGTGTAATACTAATTTTTGTTAACGCACCAACACTTTGTGTCAGTGTAAATTTTTGTTAACGCACCAACACTTTGTGTCAATGTGAACCATCAAAATGTTAGTGCATACCTTTGGTGTACAAATGGGGTACATGTAGCATGCTCCAATATATGATTATACGAAACTGTCTCCTTTGGAATGATAATTCAGATGCCAGGCAAATCATAGCAAAAAGTTTATTCGCTAGCCAAAGACTCCCTACATCCTAATTTAGTTTGTAAAAGTATGATTATTTTGTTCAACAAATTTTTTATAAAAGGATTTAAATGAACTTAATTAAAAACATTTTTGCCCAAATGATAACTTTTAATTCTTTTGTAACATTAAAAAACACTTAGAAATTTTGAGAACTAAACGCAAGGTAAATATAAGTTGTTTTGAAGGATTTTTATTTTTATATAAAAAATTAAGATTACCTACGTCTTTGATGGATCCCTAATATTTTCACCTCAAACTATTAGGCAGTCCAAACTCCAAATATTGGTATCCAGGCCATGTAACAGTGAAAGAGTAGGAATAAATCAGTAATGAACAGTTTAAAACAGACGAATATAATATTATAACTTAAATCGGGGTCCATTCCTTTAAACCGTCTCTCTATGGATCAGAATATTCTCTAGGACCGGCGAAATATTCTTTTTATTACACAAAGTATCTCTTCTCTCCCCTTATTACAAGTTGCCTCTCCTGGCTAAGTCTCTCTCCCTATTATATGTGACTCCCCCAACCACCATCTTATTAATTATCCTTTGGTGGTTAGAAAAGGATCATGAAAATATCCTTTCTGTCTAAAGGATATTTTCTCTCCTCTAGGTTATGTGCTAAAAGACAAAATGAACCAATATTCCCCTATCTCTACGATCTCAAACACTTTAGGGATCCTTGTCCATCTCTTCTTAGGTAGGCGCATACCCTAAATTAGGGTAGGGTCGTGTCATCATAATGACCCACTGAATTGATTGGGCCAGACTCCACAGACCAATTGTTCCTTCCTCTTTCCCGGGCATGGTCCTCTCATGTGCATGTTCTTTAAAAGGACCAGACCACCTTCTTTTAACCTTGTATGGGCCCAATTTCTTGCTCTAATGGGCCTCCTTGAGATACTCGGGTATACTTGGGTTTGACCCGTTATTAACTTGATGGGCTTGGTTCCCATCACATGCTCTTTTTTTACATGTCAAAAATGAAGAAAAGCTTTTTGGCTTTTCTCTTTTATTTCCATGGCATGAATGTGCTGCGTCTTCTACATACACCATTGGGATTTGCTAAGATTCTCTCTTTTTCTCCTTTTTCCTGGGCCTATCCTCCTTGTCACTTGTGCCATGAAAGTGAAAAAAATAAGCAAACAATTATGGCAGCTAGCCGTCGTCTGGGTTGCTGTCAGCGGGCGCAGGTTCCCACTAGGTTAGGGCATGCTAACTTTGAATTGAGATTTCCAAATTGAACTATTGGGAAGGAACAATTTTTAGGGCTCCACTAAGTATATGGGCTTTTCAATATTCAACGTGACCATTTCTCTCCTTCCTCTTCTCTTTTTTGTCTATGTGGTCTATAAATTTCTCCTTCTCCTCCATCTTCCTCTGTCATTTCTAGTTCCTTCCTTAAGTATCGCGGCTTTCATAGTCTTTAGGTCTCCTCGATCCTCTATTCTTTCTCCCATTCTCCTCCCTCAATCGTGAAGAAGGTCGGGAAGGGATTTTCCAAGGCTGCTACCAGCTTTCTTAATGGCGGAAAGAAATCAAAGGATGATGAAAATGTTTCTTCCATCACTGAGGCCTAGTTGCGGGAGATGAGGGCCCTAATTCCTTTGGCCTACGAAGCCCATCGGGCCAATGGAACCAACTTTCCATGCTCAGCTCAAGAGGTAGATCTTCTTCAATCTGCCCATAAATGCATGCTTGCATATCATACTTGCCTTTGGCATAACAGGAATTAGCACGGGCGATCAACCCGGCAATCTGGGCTTGTTGCTTAGCTGACTCTTTCTCTAGTATCTCGATCTGGGCCTGTTGGTCGGTTGATTGCTTCTCTATTTTTCCAATCTTCTCCTTGAGTGAAGTTATTTACCCGCGAAAGACTTGCTTGTGTTTCATATGGCGGCGCTTGGCTTCCAAATCCGTGACACTCTCCCGAGACAACTACCTCTTGCCCAGTCGCCTGGCTCTCCCCTGTAGGAGGATATCCATGGGGGAAGGGCCTGGAGTAATCTCTGCCGAAGAAGTAGAAGGTGTAGTATGAGAGGATTTTGGGGAAACTTTGCTTAGAGACCCCCTTGTTTCTTGTGCAGAAGAAGGACAATAGGGTTGAATTATTTGCGTTTCTGGCAGGCAGGTTGACTGTGGCCTAGGTAGAGACCACTTCCGGCGCTGGGGAGATCATCGGAATGAGAGAATCAATAAGAGTGGCTTCTGGGCCTGAACTACTTAAAGGGCCAGAAGTCCCATCCTCTCCTCGCACCCCATGGGCCAGCGGTTCCAGCAGGGAACCCCTCGTTTCAATGCGCGAGGAGGAAGTTAGCTTACCTCTGACAAGTGGTACGATGCAGTTGTTTCCCAAGAAATGGAAACTAGCCAGGCAGAACAGGTGATTTGTGTGAAGATCCTCATGATCAATAAGAGTGTCGTTCTTCATCTCTTCAAAGCCTTATCGGCCCTGGAAGCTTTGGAAAATGGGGTACGTGAAAGGTTAGACCGCAACACCACGAAGGGTAGATCTAAAGGGATGTGAATTAGGAATTCTATAACAAAAAACCTTCTTTGCTAGTGCGTATTTTTTAGCTCCACCTTCGTGAAAATGGGGCGCTTTTGATGAGGGAATACACTGAAGTAAGGGATGGAGCCACCAATGCTAACAAAGTCATGAAGCCCCCCTTGTCATGGCAGCGAAGGATGTAGGAAGCAAGGTATTTGTGGGCATTGGCTGTGAATTGCCTAGGACGTATCTCCCAAGTCGTGCATACCTCGCGGATGAAGGAGTGCAATGGGAGCCTGAAACCAGGGAGGACTGAGTCATAATGCATAACCAGGAAGCGCTCCGGGTCAGAATTATAAGCAAGATTGATCCCACGGCGTCCGGATGATGGACTCTAAACATATCTCCTAGGAGGTCATGCATGAGGACAAGCTCCGAATCCTGAATCGTGGAGGATTCAAGCCACCATTGCTCAATGTTAGAGGATTGGGAAGTCATGCTGCAGAAATTTGGGAAAGAAAGCTGTGGATAGTGGAAGATAACTTTGAGATCGGGTCAAAGAATGATGCTAAGGCAAAAACAAGTCACCGAAGTGGAGCGGGTTTTATAAACGTTACGGCTCGATTTTCGAGTTAGGAGTGAGATCGTTTCTAATCCGGCATGATGATCAAAGGCAGCTCATCATTAGTTCCTTGGCGACGCGTCACTAAGGAACTAAAGGGCTTGTAGAGGCCCGAAGGTGGACCTAGAGTGTCGGGTCAAACCCGATGCCCGAATGAAGTGCGAATCCCCAAATCGTGGGATTGAGGGGGGTTGATGACTGATTTCTAGCCACGATTGACACATGATTGGAGAGTTTCCGATAATGTAGCGCACGAAATGTTACGCGCTTTGTATACGGTAAAAATGGATTGTAAATAGAGGGTAAACTCTCCATTGTAACTCAAGCTAAATATAGCTTATATAAACATCCAAGAGTTCTTATTTTCTCCAACACAGTACTTATTATTCTTCGTACGCCATGATTGTTGGGCTAAATCCCATTACATACTTTTCACAAAGTGCATGTTTACACTCGAATTTTTAAAATTGCACCTCAAAATTTTGAAAGTGCACCAATAGTCCTTAATACCCTATAATTTCATAAATTGCATGTTTTTCCACTAAACTTTTAAAAATGCACCATTAGTCCTGTTTTTATTTTCTTTTTGTTTTTGTTTGGTTAAATACATTATATCCACCATTTATTCGAAATTAAATAAAATAAATTCAAATATTTATTAATTGAAATTGAAATTATCATTTCAAAGGAAAATGTATTCCAAATTTAAAAACATATCATTAAAAACAGTAATGAACTCAACATAAGGGGGTTGGTTGGCAATACATTTTTTTGAATGGCAAGAACTCAACATATCCCTTTAAAAGTCGTCCATAGCCCATAGGCCGTTATCATCATCATCGCCATAAACCGACCATACAAAACTCCAAGCAAAATTTCATCTAAACACCATACTGAACAACAAAAAGAACAAAATGTGCTTGACAGACAGTTCANTTGGCATGAGAAGTGAACAGGATGAGATCGTTCGTTCACGCTTCTAGAAGATCTTGAAGAGCAGACCGCCATGAGTGGCAAAGAAGGGAGCAAACACGAGGGATTCGACAGCCATGAGCTTGATGAGAATGTTGAGCGATGGCCCGGATGTGTCCTTGAGAGGATCGCCAACTGTGTCGCCAATCACGGCAGCTTTGTGCGGATCAGATCCCTTGGGACCAAGTGTTCTCGCATGTTCTGAAGCTCCGGCCTGTGTGATCCAAAAATAAAAACAATTATTCTTTCTCAGCATATCGTAGAGGAGTCACAGGGACAAGTTTTCAAAGATTTAGCTTGTGGGCCCCACTTAAACCATTCGCGACCGGCAGGTGCGAGAAAAGAGTCGTGGTAGAAACCTGCCAAATTTGACACCAAGAGTTTGACGCCAAGTGTTTCACCGACATGTACATACAATTGTTGTCTGTGAAGCACAATCACTATTTGTGCATGTCTCTGAAACTCTTGGTGTCAAACCTGATGAGTTTCAAGCAATTTTGAAGAGAAAAAAGATAAGCTCCATCAATTCCTAAATATTTTACGAAATCAAGTAATATGAAATGCACTTTCCAGAACTGTCCCTCGTTTGGAACCATGTTGAATCATTTTGAATAATAAAATTATCTCCAAATTAGGAAGGTGAAAATAAGTTTTTACCTCGATATATTTCTTGGCATTATCCCAAGCACCACCGGTGTTGGATGCAGAAATTGCAATCTAAAACAAGAAAATGCACGTCAGCACCAGTAATCGAGAGAGACTTCTGATACTATTTGAAGATATAAACTCTTCAAAGAATATGGCATATACTACTTTTAGTATTAAATTGGTAAGGCAACTAAAAAGTGTGCGTGTGTGGGGTACCTGGACACCAGAGACGAGAGATCCAGCAAGAACGCCGGACAACGTTTCCACACCGAAGAAAATCCCAACAATTAGTGGAGTGAGCATGACAAGAGCACCGGGGGGAATCATCTCCTTGATGGAGGCATCGGTGGAGATCTTGACACAGTTTGTGTAGTCAGGCTTGGCAGTGCCCTCCATGAGTCCAGGGATGGTATTGAATTGCCTGCGCACTTCCTCAACCATCTTAAGAGCAGCTTTTCCTACACTCTTCATTGTCATGGCAGAGAACCAATATGGAAGCATTGCACCAACCAGCAACCCGATAAACACTTTTGGTGTGAGGACGTCCACTGTCGAAATTTCAGCTCGGCTCACAAATGCACCAAACAGTGCTAGGGACACAAGAGCAGCAGATCCAATTGCAAATCCCTGAAATAATTTTTTTTAAATATAGTAAGCAAGTCTTTCATGGTTAAATTACCAAGATGGCTACTATGTTGAAGAAAGGTACAACTCACCTTCCCAATTGCTGCAGTGGTGTTTCCTGCAGCATCAAGGGCATCGGTTCTCTCACGGATCCTATGGCTCATGCCAGCCATCTCTGCAATCCCTCCAGCATTGTCACTGATGGGACCATACGCATCAATGGCCAAACCAGTAGCTATGGTGCTCAACATTCCAAGAGCAGCAACTGCTATGCCATACATTGCAGCAAAGCTGAAACTAACAAAGATGCTGATGGCGATGGCAAAGATTGGAATAATAACCGATTTGTAACCCAATGCAAGGCCAAAAATAACATTTGTAGCAGCTCCAGTGCGGCAAGAATCTGCAACATCTTGAACGGGACTGGAAAACAATGGAAACTAAAGTTACTAGCAGTGATGGTTGAGGGCATTTATGAATGAATAAAAAGACACTTGTAAGCAACCACTTACCTGTAAGCATTGCTTGTGTAGTACTCTGTCACAAAACCAATAATAAGCCCAGCCCACAATCCAACACAAACACACAAGAACAATTGCCTGCAAGTTTAATATATCAGGTAGCTGTCATCATTATGTTTATGGTTCTAGGAGTGAGAGTCTCACATTCATGCTTTTTGTATATCAATATTTGGTGCTGATTTTAAATATTTAAAAAAATGGAACTGCATGTGAATGTCTTAAACTTTTACCAACTCCCAAAAGATAAGTGAAAGAAAACTCACCAGCTCTGTACCTCCTTCTGAGATCCAAAGTTGAAAATGGTGAAGGAAGATGGAAGTGCAATCCAGGTAACAATAGCAATTCCAACGGTCATCAGGGCAGTGGAGATAATAAGTTGGTTCTTCAATGCTGGCTCAATTTCTTTTACAGCCTTGACTTCAAAGAAATCAGTTGCAAATAGAGTGGTGAGCAAACAAACAAGGATTCCTACAGAACTGACAAGAAGAGGATAGAGCATAGGTGTAAACTCATGGTTGATCCCAAAGGAAGAAATTGAAGCAACAACAAGGGCTGCACATGATGACTCTGCATATGAGCCGAACAAGTCTGACCCCATACCAGCAATATCACCAACATTATCGCCAACATTGTCCGCAATAACCTGTTATGATTGTATAAAGTCAGAAGACCAACTATCAAAATAGTTTACTTATCTAGACTAAAAAAATGAAACCAAAATCATACTGCTGGATTTCTGGGATCATCCTCCGGAATATTCCGCTCCACCTTCCCCACAAGATCAGCGCCAACATCTGCAGCTTTTGTATATATACCTCCACCAACTCTGCCAAAGAGGGCCATTGAAGATCCACCGAGACCATAACCAGTTATGGACTCAAACAAGCCTTCCCAGTCATCACCATAATACAACTTGAAGAGATTGATGGTAATATACAGTACCAAAAGACCATTAGCAGCAAGAAGGAAGCCCATCACTGCACCAGATCTAAATGCAGTAATGAAAGCCTTTCCAACACCCTTTCTAGCTTCCAAGGTTGTTCTCGCATTTGCATAAGTAGCTATTTTCATTCCAAGAAAACCAGAAACCACGGAAGTAACAGCACCTAAAACAAAGGATATGGTGCTAAAGACAGCAGTAGCAAGAGCAGGCTTGCACAATTTGGTATCATCATAGGTGCACGCCTGACTCTTTGTGCTAAAGCCTTCAACCGAGCCGAGGAAGACAAAGATCAAAACAGCAAAAGCAACCATGAAAATACCAACATATTGGTATTCAGTGAATAGGAAAGAAGTTGCACCTGTAACACAGCAAATACATGATTTGACAGAAGCATGCCCGCAGGTGTCACAAACTCAGACCACTAAATCACTAGACATATAACTAGCTTGCTTTTGTGGTTACCTAAGAGAGAAAGGTGCTGTGAAGAAGTTAAAATGGACAAACAAGATAAGGGAGAGATCAGTCAACCATAGTTATCATGGCGCCAAGGCGAGGCGGGACGCGGCACCAATGAACTGGAGGATGCCTAGTCGACTAGGCAACCGCCTAGGCAACAATTAGGCAACTAGTCATAAATGATAAAATATAGTAACTTAATACAAATATATAATAATTAATATAAGATAGTGTTATTCATAAAGTACAAAGTTCATATTCAACATACCTAATGTCCATTTGAAACAATAAAAGGTACAATACTTAGTATGCGGAAAGATCCAAACCCTTTTTCAACAAAATCAATTGACATAATTATTGTCAAAAGTATAAATTAATTACTTAATTGAAGAATAAAGAAAAAGACAGCAACCTAGGAGTTGGACCAGGGAGTATAGACAAGGAATTCCAAGTCAAATTTAAAGAGGATCTAGGGCATTAGGCACTTGACTTCTAGGATCTGGGTCAGAGTGAGTAAATAATCTATTTGTAATACCAAGTATTAAAAAAATTCTCAAATACTAGGACACTGAAAATTAAAAAAATTACGTCATCTCTTAATAACTTTAGATGCTTACAAGGCATGGAAACCAAACAATTTTTCTAATTTAGTAAAACATAACTAGGAAATGTGTGTCTCAAACTAGGTATGATGACAATTAAGGCAACTGACTGTAAGAAAGCTCATTAATAAGCATCAAGATCGGTCATAACACGCAAGAACTTATGTTCAAATTAACACGGCATCCCGGATCTAGAACCGTCAGCCTCACAAAATGCAGTGGGTGACGTGACGTGACGGTATGTAACAGTAACGTCTCATTGTCTGTGATTAAAATAAAAGGAAATTGTTTAAAATTACTAAATCCTACGTAAAATTAAAATAATATGGAGTAATAACTAAAATTAGAATAGCTGAGATTCATATTAACACGGCTTTGCAGATCTAGATTTTTTAGCACGGCCAAAAGGGGTGCTTGACAACTGACATCACCACCGAACAAAATAAGGTCTTTTTCATGGAAAATGTTTTTAAAGTTTGTTTGGATTCCAATCTGAATCATGGATCGGAATTGATTAATGCCGGACAGAGAGTATATAAGTTATCACCAATTAAAGAACAGTGGAAAGTCTAGGCCTCACCAAGCATATGATTATATGAGGATACATCATTAACCAATAACCAGCTAAAGTAACCTAAAACAAATGAGCCAAATCTGTATAGTTCAGATAGTACTCTGTACGTCCTTAATCAACCTATTTCATGTTTAAAAATTGAACTTTGAATTTCTTTTCAAATCAAACAAACAGTGTTCAAATGCAGATAAGTGAGGGAGAAAACTTTTGAATAAACATATACCCAGCAGAAAAAACTCAAAATTCTCTGCACTGGGCTATAAATATTGAGGTAAAATATATGTACAGACACATGATGCAGCTACAAAATGTACACACATGTACACGGCAAGCCAAAAATGGAGGTCAACTTCAGATTAATACATGAGAATCAATCGATTTCTGAAGAAATCAAGCCAAACCCAAACTAAAAACCGAGATTCAAGAGTTCAAATGCACAGACACGAAAGAATACGGGCGTGAGAATGAAAGTGAATACCTTCTGAGATGGCGCTTTGGATTTCGGCGCACTTGTGAACGACGCTGTGGTCATTGATGCCTTCCTCCTCCTCAATTAGCGAATCAGCAAATCCGTTCTTCCCGTCAGAGCCTGAAGCGGACTTCTCCGGCGACATCTTAACCTTGGACACAATGATCCACTGGATGAGCGCGAAGGCTATGCCGACGACGGCGCACACCGGAATCAGGATCTCGGTGCCAAGATCTGGTAGAATAGCCGGCGCACCCATCGCCTCTGCCGGGAACTGAGCTGCCGTGCAGCAGTTGAAGAAAGAGCAGAGAGAAAAAGGGGAATGGAGGCTGAAGGCAACGTTTGCGGTGGCTTTACTGAGAGTGGGTTTGGGGGTATTTATAAGCTTAGAGCTTTTTCTGACGACGTTTAAATACCAGTGAAAAAGAACATTAGGATATACTCCGTAATAAAAGTTAAAGGCTAAACCAGTTTATTTGCTTACACCAGTTCATTTGAGGTATTTACAGTGTTTCATTTGTAAAAACGACGGTTCCTCCCTAATCCTTTCCCTAAACCCTCCACCCAGCCCTACCTTTGCCCTCACCCCCTCCCTACCCAGGCAATGTACTACTAGGGTAGGCAAGGGTGGGAACAAGCGTGGGACTGAGTGGGGGTTTAGGAGGAAAGTTAGGGGTGGGAAACCGTCGTTTTTACAAACGGAAAATCGTAGATACTCTAAACGAACTGGTGTATAAGTAACTGGTGTAACATTTCGAAAGTTAAAAGCTGTAGTACTGTAGACATTATCTTATGGGCACGAATTTTAAGGTCGTCACTTGTAGTATAAATATACCACATATGGGCACGAATTAGTTTAGAAGAGTCTATTTTTCTATTTTTGATTTTTTGTAATTAATCATTTTTGATATTTTACCTGTAATTAAATTAAATTTATAAATTATATTGATTTGATAAAATAATATTATGAAAATAATATATAAAATAAATCTAATTATATTTTTTGTATTAATACATAATAATAATTTTATTTAATGGATGGTCAAAATTTGTTAATTTTAACGGTAAAAAAATAAAAAACTAGACAAATAATCAGATACGGATGTAGTAAATAAGAAAGAGTTACATAAATCACTGAGTATCAAACTATAAGTTTCATATTTTTATTTTCGAAATAGGAGTTCGCACTGTGATAATGTGACATTGTATATATAAATATTTTACTATACTTTTTGGTAATATATATGGTCATGATTGGTACTCTAAATGCATTATATATAGATATTTTACTATACTTTTTGGTAATATATACATGATCATGATTTGACACTTAGTTTGATATAATAATCACTCAATGTGCTTTCACTCAAACTGAAATCTTGTTCGAGTGCAACCATTGAAACATACATCGAAAGGACTTGTTCCGCAAACATAGCCATAGCTTAGAATAGGTGACCATGATTTACGTTGAACTTTATATCTGTTAAATATATTCAGTATATATTTATTAATGCTAAGTACGTATATATTTATTAATATATTTATATATGAGAAAAGTGCACGGATTACCCCCGAACTTCTTCGAAAGTGCACGGTTTACCCCTAAAGTTTAAGAAGTGCAGCAATCACCCCCCCTAATATGGAAAGCATTGCATCTGTGGTCCTCTAATCGTAGATCAGACGTGCGTTTCTCCCACGCACCAAAATTGCGACTGTGATTCACATAGGGCCTTTGGAATTCTCAAAAATACCCTCCCCTGATTTATCTTCTTGATTCATCCAAAGTCCCCTTCTCAATCTATTTTCGATCTGGACATTTCTTCGGACCATGGCATCTTCCTCTTTGACTTCCAACTACCGTGTGAAGAAGGAGACAAGGAGACAATATGAAGCAATTTCTTCCAACTTGAAGATGACGAGGCCTGAATTAGATCTACGCTATGGTACGGTAATGTGTGATTGTTTGCCTCAATCAAGAAATTGTGTAATTCGCCTTGTGACTGACCATGAGAAGCCAAACAAAGGTAGGCTTTTTTATACTTGTGATCACTGTGGGTTTTTTCTTTGGTGTCATCCATTGAAGGCTGAATTTCGAGGTGAGCCGCTGCCAATTGATAGCTCTGTTTGTTCATAATGGCTCGGTTTGTTCGGAATGGCCCTCTAGAAGCCAAACAAAGGTATGCTTTTTTATGCTTGTAATGGCTCGGTTTGTTCGGAATTACGGAGAAATTGAGGTGGAGAGCTATTTGAATGAGAATGAACGTGGAGCTCAAAATGAAGTAAACGCAGCAGTGCCTCGTGAGAATCATCGCAATATAGGTGTTAATCTATATCATACCATAAAGCTACTTTGCAATTTGTTGGGTCTTGTTGTTGTTTTGGTGGCTCTTTTGAAGTAGGTTGACATATTTAGTAGTTGTGTTGGGGTTGTGTAGTATTTTGTGTTCAAGTACTTATGAACCAATGTTGTATGATTTGTGTTAAGCGGATTGGTGAAATTTGTGTAATGGAAGATCATTGTTTTTTTCTTTTTTTAATATTCAGTTTTATGGCTTGAATGAGAGCAACAGTATGCAGAAGCTACTTCAAAAGCTTCTGGCTTTCATTCAGCAACAGTTTTATGGCTTTCATTCATTATTTTGTACGCAGCAGTACTTATATCATTTTGTTGTAATGCATTGAATTTGACCCGTTACAGCAGACAGTACGGGGGTCTCGCCCGACGGCACACAATGTTGATATGTATAGAGCTATTAATTATCTGTCGAATTCCGCATAACACATTTTTTTGTTTCTGCCTTTATGCCAATACACCCATATGCACGAATTGAAGATGGCTTTATGGCTTGTCCTTGTTTTTTGTCAGTAACCCTGAGGGATTGAAGACATCATTTAACAGCAGAAGCAAAATGTAACAAAAAGACCTCATTCTAAAATTATGTTCCACTAAATTGTACTCATGATACAATCACCAAAAAACCTTTAAAGTACTCATGATACAATCATCAAAAGAAACATGTAACCACAAAACTTTTAAAGTACTCACTTTCAACACGTGGAGTCAAATAAGCAAAAAAAAACTTCAATTTCCCATGGTGGCTTTAAATTACATTCCAAAATGTGGAGCTAAATAAGCAAAAAAAGCTTCCACCTATATCACCCCATGGCCATAAATAAATAACAAAAAAAAAACTTTTCCTAAACTCCAGATCATGGCTTCCACACTCTCTTATGAGCCTTTATCTTTTCAAAAACTTCAGATTCTATTATGCTCTTCTTTCTCTTCCCATGTGCTAAACCACCCTCTCTAGCTTGTTGAGTCTGACTTGTTGTTCCATCTTGAGATGAGGGTGGAAATTCAGTAGCACTTGAGGGCAAGTGTGCAATGCTTTCCTTATTAGAGGGGTGATTGCTGCACTTCTTTAACTTTAGGGGTAAATCGCGCACTTTCGAAGAAATTCAGGGGTAATCCGTGCACTTTTCTCATTTGTATATGGTAGTTACCTTATGTAGAGGGTTTCCTTATTCCTATTCTTACCATAATTAGGAGGACTCTTGTTGTATATATGTGGGGCTTAGCTCCTCCAGTTTAATATAGAAAATAATTATTTTTCATGGTATCTAAACCAATCTAATCTAGCCGCTCCGCTTTTCTCTTCGGCTCTCTCTCACAGTGGTGCCGACAAGCAGCACCGCCTCCCCTCTCCCGCTCGGCCTTACAGCACCGACCAAGCAATAGCTTCTCTCTTTAGCTCCCTCTCTCCCGAATCTCTCCCTGCAGCGCCGACCAGCAGCGCCTCTCCCAGCGGTGATGTCAACATCCGAGAGGTCCTCCGCCACTCCCTCCTCTTCATCTGCTACTCCTCACTTGACCTTCACAACTCTCTCTAACGTAAAGTTGCATGTTCCGAATTTTTTCAAACCAAACTACAAAAAATGGAGTCGTCTCTTTCTCTTTCTTGTTCGACGATTCTCCTTGGCAGACTTTCTCACCAACAAATATATCCCCTCCAGTGCTCGCAAATTTATCTCCTTGGAAAATCTCACTTATTTGCATTTTTGCGAGTTTTGGGTGCTTGAAAGATGGATTATTTTAGGTAATTTTTTTCTCTTTTTTCAATCTCTAACATTAAATTTAAATGTTTTTATACATAATACTCCATCAAATTTAAGTATTATCTTAGAATGAAACAAGTTATTTTTTTCAATAATCAATAATCTACCAAGAATTGAATAATAAATTATTCTACACAATGAAGCTAATTTATTCACTTCATAACTCATTGCATTTTTTTGAAAGTTGCAATTATTTTTCTTGAATGACACTTCAAATTATTTTTTGATGCTATACTAATATTATTTTTTAAAAATGGTACTACAAAACTTGGGAATATTTTTTAGTAATTCTATAGAAATATTTTTTTTAAAAATTTTTTATAAAACAATTGTGAAAATAACACGATAATATTTTCCCTGAAATGGAACTTTTATTTTTATAACTCACTATATTTTTTTTGTATTGCAATTTTTTCATGAACAACACTCCAAAATGGTTGTTGATAATCTTTAATTACCCGTATTATTTTTTCTAAAATCGAACGACCCAACTTATAATTTTTTTCGATAATTCTATATAATATTTTTCCCCAAAATAATAATTCCAAACTTATGAAAACGACAAAATGTTTGTTCTCCAAAATGGCACTAATTAATTTTATAACTCACTACAAATTTTTTGTATTGCAATTTTTTCTCGAGCGATATTCTGAATTATTTTTCGATAATCCAATATTATATTTTCCTCAAAACATAAAAAAATTGTAAATCATTATATTTAAAAAAATTGAGACAAATCTCTAACAAGATTGTACTTTTATATTTTTAAAAACACTAATTTTAAAATTAAAATTTTAAAAAATAAAAAGTAAATTTGACTAAAATAGTCCCACCTTTATTTATTTGCGAAAACATGTATTTTCTAAAAATTCCGTCAATTGGCCGTTGGCTTTTTAACGGAGGTCCAAAACTCACACATGCAAAAAAGGCGAGATTATTTCCGATGACAGTGAAAAGTATGATTGCTTTTTAAAAATGTGAAAATGTGAGATTATTTAGGATAATTTTCCCTTTTTCTTTTTACACCTCAAACATGGTTAAGACAAATATTATTGTGGACCTAAGTTCCACACCACTTTAGGTGGATCGATCTTCATATGAGTGTGGTAAGAAAATGCTAACTACGGAGTATCATGATAAGCATTTATTTATAAAGTAATTAGTCTAAATAAGAGTTTACACTATGGTAATGTGGTAGTGTACATAGATATTTCACAATATTTTTTTGATAATGTACATGATCATGATTGACACTGTACTGTAAATACATTTTAACTCTTATTTTGAGAATAAAAACATGAAAATCTTATTTTACTATATTTTTAATGTTTTATTCTTACTTTAATTTTTTCCACTTTTTATCAAACAATATGCAAGAAGAAATGCTTATTAAGGGAGTAAGCATTTACTTACTACTCATATAAAGGTCCCCTTAAAATGTTGTGAATCTTAGATTTATCAAAGAAACACCCATATTTAAAAGTTGAGTTCATTTTGAATTTTTTCTTTTGACTTTTTATAGTCAATCATGATTGAACTTTAACCTTAATTAAATGATGCATTAACTAGATAAAACATTTTAAAAAAATATGTTTTTTACAAAATAAATGTAATAATTTTTTTATATTAATATCTAAATAAAAATTTATTTAATTAATGGTCAAAGTTTACCAATTTTGTTTGCGTATCTGGTCACCTCTATGCAAATTACTTTGAATAGTAGGTTTATTTTTGAGTAAATTACTCAAATAGGACCAAAAGAGGACCCTTTTCCCAAAAGAGGAGTAGTCCTATTTCCGTCCACATGGCACAGAGTAAAAAGACCTGTAGGTCCTCCTATTTAGTCTGTAATTAGAAAAAAGGGAAAATATACGCTGTTTTACGGGGAAGCGCGAAAGTGAAGGCAAAATAGACGCCGTAGGTGATACGCTGCACAGCGGGAGTTCCCAAGTGTGTCTCTACTTCTCCTGCATGCGGATTAATCTGCTTATTGTAGAATAGATCTAGGATTTTGTCACTAGCAGTTACGGCATTATCAATTTGAAGTCAATCAGAAGCAGGGATGACGACGAGGAGCAGTGCAGCAAAGAAAACGGCGACCAAAATTATGGTAGATGACGACGATGATTTCGTGGACAAGATTCCAATAATACAGACCAGGAATTTAGTGAAAACCACCGCAGGGCGAGTAAGTTCAGAATGTGTAATTCATAGTGTTTTATAATGTTATAATGCCTGAAATTAGGTGGAAGTATACAGCCGTGCATATGTGTTGTTTGCGAAAATTTCTGTGGTGTTGCAATTACATGTACTGCTATTCGTTAGTTTTGTACCTTAGTTTCTTGGGAATGAAGGCCTGGATTTTGGGTATTGTCTGATTTTTAAAGACTTTGTAGTGGTCTAGTTAATGACTTTATATGGATGAAGTTAACAGGAGGACATTAAGGTGTTTCATAAATAAGTGTTGAAACCTGGTTTTTAAAAACTTGGTATTGAATGTATTTTGGAGAGTTTTGGATGTCTAATTGCAGTGATTTTAGCTGGACTAGTGTGTTTGTGGTTCTGGATTTGTTTCCATGGATTTTGGTAGAAAAGTTTTTAAATTATGAAGAAGTGTTATAATGACCTGGTTCTGATTTAAGATGCAAAAGATAGCAAGATGATAGGGCTAAAGACTTATTACTGTTTGGATTGAGGATTAATGTCTTTTTTTACTTGCAGATTAAAGACCTCTGATGGGCCTAAAACATATTTATGAACTTTTTAATACTTGGGATAGTTGTTTAATGACTTATTAGTATGTTAAGAGGTTGGTTTATAATGTGCTTAATCTGGTACTATTGCTTAATGCCCTTTTATTGGAAGATGTTGTTTTTGTGCCTGAATTGGTTGTTTCCGTTAGATTGAGAATAACATTTCAGTGATATGAGCGCATCTCTGATTGAGGGGTTTGTGTGTTTATGATGTTTTGTTGGATAATTTGCAACATGCAGGTGTACAGAAGGTTGTGTGATGAAGAGATTTTGGTAGGGAAAACAGGGCTTAAGGTCACCTGTTTTTGTAATCTTTGTGTTGGTTCGACTACTGTTAAGGGTGTGGTTAGTGCTTCAGAGATGGCTGAACTGAAGAATTCCGCTTTTGGTATTTTCTTCAAACTTGGGAAAATTAAATGGGTCAATGGTCAGTTGTTGATTTTATTAGCTTTAAATCATGTGGAGCCCATTAATAAGAGTGGAGAGGTTGATAGACTAAACTTTCACATTGGAGATAGGATAGTGGAGTTTAAGAAGACAGATTTTGCATTGATTACTGGGTTGAGGTTTGGAAGGGAGAGTAGGTTTGAAGATAGTGACCTGGCTAAGGCAAACGACATAAGCACAAGGTACTTCAATGGGAAAATGAGCGTGAGTCGTATAGAAGTTGAAAATGTGTTCAAAGGTATCGCGAATAGAAGAGATAAGGAACAGTCGGATGCTGTGAAATTGGCTTTACTGAACATCATTGTAAACCATGTGGTCGGTAACCAAGGGTTGACAAAGATTCCAGCACTGTACATGCATCTTGTTGACGACCTAGACCGATTCAATAAATTCCAGTGGGGAGAGCATCTGTGGAATGACATGGTGGAAAGCTTACGCAAATGTTCATCAATACTCAACACGGGAGAACATTGCCGATTTACATTTCCGGGCTTCCTATTTCCACTACAGATTTGGGCGTTTGAGACTTTCCCTGCTTTGAAAGAAAATGAAATATGTGTTGTGGGAGTGAAACGGAGCAAAGTGTGGCCAAGGGCATTACGATGGGAGACAGGGGTGCGCCCAATGCATGACCTACTGGAGGGTTCAATTTTCGGCACGGAAGAGGTGAAAGTGATTCCTTTGCATTCAGATACGTTAATGCTTTAGTATAATTTGAAAGTAACTGACATTAATTTTTTTACTGCAGGAAAGTGGTCAATGGGATGAGATGGTTGCCACGACATCGGAGAAAGCGATGGAGAAGATTGCA